TGGTGTTACAGCAGCCCTAGGAACTAACACAGTCACCTAGAGCTGTGCCCATCACAGCTGGGAACTCTAGGGGTCGGTGGAGCAGAGTCTGGGAGACCAGTTAAATGGACTGGGGGCGGGGGGGGGGAGGTGCCCATTTGGGGTGGTGAGGGAGAGCAGTATAAAAATAAGGTGTTTACTCATCCAGCTATACTGACCCACTTGTAGAGAGCGCCTCTGCATGACTTTGCATGTGTGAGTGTGTGTGTGTGTGTGGCAGGGGGGAGAGTTTTAGCTGAGGAGTATGTCTGCAGTCGTTTTTTTTTCTGGTGAGGATGGGCATTCTTCAGGTTGGTGACAACTTAGAAGGTGAGGACTCCATTTAAGAAACTCCTTCCACCCTTTGGTCATCATCTCCCTCCCTAGATCTTAGAGCTTGAAACTGGGCTTAGAGAGGTGAAGAAAACTTGCCTAAGTTTTCAGTCAGTTAATAAGAAATGGAGAATTCAGATTGACAACTCTGACTCCAAAGACCCTGCCCTTCTCACCATCTCAAGCTCTTTCTCAAGCTTAAGAAAGTGAACTTTTCAGAAAGATATGGTGATTCAGTTTTTCTTTCATAAGCATTTTTTCTAAATTTGAAAGTAGCACTTGTTTTTTTGTAAAATATTTAGAAAATACAGAAATGTTTAAAGAAAAACTAGAAAATTATTTTGGCAATAACTACTGATAATATTGGGTAATTTCCTTCCGGTCTTTCTCCCATACGGATATATATTAAAATTAGACTGACTATTGTAAACAGTTTTGTATTTTGCTTTTTCATTTAAATGATCTCACTTACCATTATCATTTAACATTTTCTCATGTCATTACTTTTTATAAACATTTTAAATTACTAAATAATACTCCATTACACGGATGGGCCACAAGTTGTCTTCTATTATTGCCTACTTAAGTTTCTAGCTTTTTACAATGATAAGCATGCAACAATTAACACACTTTTAGTAAACATTTGTCCTCATCTCTATTATTTCTTGAAGACAGGGGATGTACCAGGTACGCGTGTTTTAGGGCATTTGATACATAATGCCGAATTGTTTACCGAAAGAGTTCTACCTACCAGAATGGGAGTGCCTCATAGGAACCCTTACCAAGATTGAGTACTATCATTAAAATATGTTCTGAAAAGGGGCATCCCATGATTGATCACACAGGTTGTTCTGAAAAGGGGCATCCTATGATTGATCACACAGGTTGCTGGCCGTCCAGAAGATTGCACTGAGGAGACCAGTTAGCGGACGCTTGCGATGATCTGAGTGGGACGTGACGGGGCTTGAGGCTAGGCAGCAGGGATGAAGGGAACGAGAAAACGCACGGCATTCGTAGAACATTCGATGCGGGGGAGGGGGTCAGTGCAGATAAGATAACCTGCGCTGGGTGGGGTACATGGGAGGACTGAGGCTGCGCGCTCCACTCAGCCTCCTCCGCGTCGCGCTTGCACCTCACCCGTGAGGGGGGCCCAGGAACGTACCCTTCCCACCCCTTTAACAGGGACACTCCCCTTTAAGGCG